GTAAACCAGGACCGGGTGGTTCAGGGTCTAATCTGAACCAGTAAACCAGGACCGGTTGGTTCAGGGTCTTCATGGTTCCATCTGGAGCTTCTCTCCTGCTCTCTCACATCATCTTCATATCAGCTGCTGTCATCTCCAGATGGTTCTGGTGTCAGGCAGCAGAACCAGGAGGAACCAGTGGACCTCCTCCAGACAACACGTTGAGCAGCATCACTTCATCTAAACCTGATTTTATGACGCCGTCTGACAAACACAGGAGTTAAAAACAGACTCACCAGTCTGATCACAGCCTGACTGACAGACTGAAGGCTTCTCTCTGATCCTCTGAGTCTCTCAGCCTCCTTCTCCATCACCTCCTTCTGAATGACCTCCTCCTGCAGCGAGCCAGAGAGCTCCACAACCCTATCAGAGAGACAGCGAGCTCCACACGGCTGCAGATTGATGATGAATCTGAATAAATAAAGACCATCAGGAAGTTTTACCGCTGCTGCAGCTTTGACACCTCAGTCTGATGGACGAGCTGCAACTCAGACAGAACTCCCTGCTGCTCCTCCTTCAACCTCTCCATCATCTCCTCCATCTTCATCTCCTCCTCCTTTGTCTTCTCCTTTATCTCCTCCTCTCTGTTCTCCAGCTCTCCTAAGGAGAAGGTCCCCAGTGTGGAGGAGCAGATGGGAGGCTGTCCAGCAGCCGAGGAGTCTAGAGGACGGAGGACTAGAGTGGAGGACAGAGGTGGAGGCATGTCTGAGGGTGAGGAGGTGTGACGAGCCCTGAGCCTCATGGAGGAGTCACAGCTGGAGAGAAGGGATGAGGAGAGACGAGAAAACTCCGCCCTCAGCTGCCACAGATCCCTGCAACACACAGACAGAATGGTCATCCGTTGGTCAAACGTTGGTCAAACGTTGGTGAGCCGTTGGTCAACTGTTGGTCAAACGTTGGTGAGCCGTTGGTCAACTGTTGGTCAAACGTTGGTGAGCCGTTGGTCAAATGTTGGTGAGCCGTTGGTCAACTGTTGGTCAAATGTTGGTCAAGAGTTTGTCAAGAGTCGGTCAACCGTTGGTCAGCGGTTGTTGAAGCGGAGCGCTGTGACTGGTGAATCGGCAGCAGACGTACCTGTCGGCGGCAGTCTTCAGGGTGTGACAGTGTCGCCTCAGAGCAACCACAGACCTCCACACTGACAGCAGCTGAGCCTGGTTCTGACCCACATGACAGGACCAACACTAAACAAACAGCCAAACAAACAAACGGATAAACAACGTGTCAGGCTGGCTCAGTGTCACCTTCAGATCAGACTGCTCACCTCCCTCTCTCTCTGCCAATCAGACTCCTTCTGCTCCGCCTCCTTCACGGCCATTGTCCAATCGGTCGTCAGTTTCTGGAGGTCCTCCCTCAGGGCCCGGTTGGTCCACTCTGATTGGCTGAGCTGCTCCCGGAGGAGCACATTGGTGTCGGCCAGACTGACAGACCTGAGGACAGACACACCTGGTGAGTACGGGACAGTGATGTAGTTACAACATGAGTGGACAGGTGAACACACCTGTGCTGCTCCTCCTCCAGCCTGATGAGGGCGCTCTCCAATGACTCACTGCGTTCGTCTCTGATCCTCTGCTGCAGACACACAACAGCTACAACATCTGGACTGATGCAGGGACAGCAGAGGGCGAACTGCTGCTGCTGCAGTACTGCCACTGTATGTGTGTGGTAGTGCTGGTAGCTCACCTCAGTGCTGAGCAGGTGTGTGTGTTCGTTCTCCAGCTGAAGATCCAAACGTTGGCATCGATCTCTGTACTCCAAAACCTGCAGTATTCATCGGTACTGGTCAGCATTCATCAGTACCACTAATAAATAACCACTAATGACTTTTTAATTGATTCATGTTGTTTTTTTCTCAAAAACAACAAAGTGAGCGATTCATTAAATCTGCTGTCATGTGACAAACTTAAAGTGCCGACAGAAATCAATACAACTGATTGATGAAGTCAGAAATCAATACAACTGATTGATGAAGTCAGAAATCAATACAACCGATTGATGAAGTCAGAAGTCCAGGTTCAGTGAGTTCACCATGACCATGAAGACTTTACAGCTCTGAGCTGCTACAACCTGCTGCTCTCCTTCTGGACCCACGGTTCTGGCTTTGGTAGCAGCTCTTAGTTCTGCCGCCACTCGAACTCCTGGTTCTGACAGTCCTGACCCTAACAGTGATGGTTCTGACTGTCCTGGTTCTGACAGTGCTGACCCTAACAGTGTTGGTGCTGCCGGCCCACAGTGCCCTCCAGAACCCCAGAGCGGGTCTGACCTTGTTCTGCAGCCGGTGGACGAGCAGGGCCTGCCGGGCCTCCCTCTCTCTGGACTCCCTCAGCCTCCTCCTCCACTCCCTCTCCTCCTCCTCAGAGAGGGCGAGCGAGGGAGACACTGATTGGCTCAGCTGGAGGGAGGGAGAGAGAGAGAGAGAGAGAGAGAGAGAAAGATGATTGGCTGCTGCTGATCACATGATGCATCCCCCGGTCAACCCCCCTCCTCACCCGCTCACTCAGCACTCTGCTCCTCGCCTGAAGCTCCTCCCCCTCAGCTCGACTCTCCGCCAGTGCCTCCTGCAGGCGACACACTTCCTGCTGGAGCTCCGCCTTCTCCTGCTGCCAGCCAATCAGGAGCTCCGACTCCATGCTGGCAGCTCACCTGTGGGAACAAAGGCCACTTTAGGAATGAATGCTGATACATTCTGAAGATGATTGATCCGTGTGGCGCTCTCTGGGAGTTTATTAACGATTAATCATCAGTTTAGCGTTAATCTGCAGTCCGGCCCATAAGCATGTGGGACACCACAGCGGGTCTAACAGGAACCAGTCCAGATGTGCTTTCAGTCTGAAGGTGTCTCCAGGCCTGCTGTGTGCAGGTCCTGCTGCTTCGTTGGACATCTTCCCTTCAGTTCTGTCCTCAGCAAGAGGAATGCATGTTTGGCTGGACTCAGGTGACTGACTTGGCCGTTGCAGAACGTTCCACCTCTCTGCCTTAAAAGGTCTTTGG